TTGTAAAAATAATTATTTTTCAAAGAATCATTCCCAAAATTGTCATCTATATACAGTGGTGGAAAAATAATAGAAACGACTTTATTTTGTGGTGAAAACTATATTTTCTTAAAAACCACCCGTTAGAATTTGATGATTTGTATCTTAAATAAAAGGTATTTAAGTCTACTTTGTTATGATATATGGAGTTATTAAGTTTTTTTGCTCCATCGTATTTTATTGGAATTAAAAAAATTGGCATTGGAAAAAATAATAGCTGAGATTTATTAAACTGTGTTTTGTATTTATTTTTAAAAATTTTAATTATAAATGAAATTCTTAATATAAAAGTATACTTTAATTTTTATGTTAACATTTGTTTTTTCGAAGCTTGATTGACCATATGGATCCTGACAGCTGAATCAGAGGCCCGACTTTCAAGTTTTCTTAAATAAAAAGTTCAGATAGTGAAAGAAATTACTTCTAATGGTTAAATTATCTAAAAAATAAGTTTCTGAGTAGATTTCGAGAAGAAAAAGTTATGAATCCACTTATAGATAACGACAATCCACCGATTTTTGGGCCAAATTTCGAACAATATTTCGCTATTTTCCAATTCGACCCGTTTTTGGTGGTTAAAAAGGGGCTTAAATATCAAAGTATGTTGATGGACTTGTGAAATAATGCTATAAATAAGTTAAATTTAACACAAAAAGTTCACAAAATCTAAAAAAAATGAAATTCAGTTGGAATTGTAGATAGTTTTTGGTGTTTAAAAAGGGGCTTAAATATCAAAGTATGTTGATGGACTTGTGAAATAATGCTATAAATAAGTTAAATTTAACACAAAAAGTTCACAAAATCTAAAAAAAAATTAAATTCAGTTGCAATTGTAGGTAGTATACTGCAACGTGGGGGATGATAGACATGAGAGCGGAGTTGGATTCATAATAGCAAAGGATCTTAAAAGGTCACTCAAAGACTGGAGCCCAGTGTCTGGCCGCATAATAACCGCACGGTTTTTCACAAAAATCGGGAAATGTTTATCCATTATCCAATGTTATGCACCTACGGAAGAGGCTGACGATGGATCTAAGGACGAGTTCTATGAACAACTAACATCTACTATACGAAAGGTACCGAATCTGGATATCTTGATACTAATTGGAGATTTCAATGCAAAAATTGGTAGTGATAACCTGGGCCTGACTCGTATAATGGAGAAACATGGTATCGAAATGAGGAACAACAATGGTGAACGTTTTATAGAATTATGCCTAACTTTTGATTTGGTGATTGGTGGTACATTATTCCCACACAAGAATATATACAAGTATACATGGACATCACCTAGTGGCAACACAAAAAACCAGATCGACCATATATGTATTCGTCGGAAATGGAGAGGATGTTTACAGGACGTACGCTCTAAGAGGGGAGCTGATATCGACAGCGACCACGAGCTTGTGGTAGGAACGATCAAAATCAAACTCAGGAAAATTTACATTGAAAATAAGGGAAGGGTGAAGAAACGGCTAGACGTCTCAAGACTTAAAAATCAGGCTAGGAGAGATAGAGTTGGGGAAGTACTGGGAGAATGTGTACCAGTAAATTACAGTTCATGGGACGAAACTTACAATAAACTTAATAATATAGCAATGAGGGAAATTGGATACAAACAAAAGGAAAGAAGGAAGATATAGATATCAAATGAAACCTGGAGACTTATTCAGGGGAGAAATGACCTGAAAAGGAACATTATGAATAATCGATCAATTATGGGACAATATAAGGTTATAGCAAAGGCCGTCAAAACCTCAGCTAGGAAGGACAAAACAAAATACTTCCAAAACATCGCCAGTGAAGCCATTATATCTGGTTTTCATTGATTTCAAAAAAGCATTTGACACAATAAAACGTAGAGCTATATGGTATGTGTTGAAGGCGTACCGGAAAAACTGGTTTAGAAATGAGGGATTTGGTAAATTTTTGTTTTTACGAAAAAAAAAATCTATTTTTGTCAGTTTTTATCTGTTTTCAACGTTTTATATCTTATTTCGTTCATAAAAATATGGGCTTATTAAAAACAATATAAAAATTTGTATTTAGATCTAAATATTTTACACATTTCCGTAAAAAATATAAAAGTACGTATACCTTTTAAAAAGGACAAAGGAAACTCTTTTCATAACGGTTCAAAAATATTGAATCGGTTAAGAAAATTTTGAGACATAAGACAAAAAGCTTTTTTTCCAATATCTTCCGATTTTTAGGGTATATTAAAGATTCTAAAAATGGTAAAATTATCTACTCATCTAGGTCTATAAACAGCATTATATCGCGTAATGAGTGTTTTTGAGTGTCACACAGTGTAATTTGCGTGGCATCCCCAAAATGTAAAAAATTTATATCTGGAAAACTATTATAGTTAGAATCTTCAAAATCGTAGTGTTTTTTATTTATATTGCTTTTAGAGTAGCATAGCACACTGAGTATAGCTGGTAAATAGATAAATGTTTGCAGTAACTAAAATATTGATGAAATTCTATAAAAATAACAAGTGTTTACAAAAAACATAGAATAAAAATTAATGTGTGTTTGTTTGAAGTCTATAGACTGCTAAACGGCTAAACAGATTTTCTTGAAATTTTTACAGTGTGTTCCTGTATACCTGGAAGGAAAAATAGGCTACTTTTTATTTTGAAATTGCAAGTGCCACGTCCACTTACTAAATTACTATTTAAAGTCGTATATCTCGGAAACTGGTACAACTATAGTCCTCAAATTTTGCACGTACATATTTGACACCTACATACATATATGAACATTTTGGGGACATGAGCGAACTAGCAATCGTGGGCGTGGCAGATCCCACGCCTAATATTGCGTGCAAATACCAAATGGCGTAAATTTTGGAAACTATAACTGCTGCAGTCCCAAAATTTGTACGATAAACTAAGTGTCAATATGAAAATTTTATAAAGAAATGGATGGACAATAAATAGTGGGCGTGTTGTCTCTCATATATAGTTAATACCAAAATTAGTATATCTGAGAAACAATAAATGTTAGACTGCACAAATTTTGTACGACTATTATTGTATGAATATTTTGGACAAAAATTGGTATACTAGCAATATTGGGCGTGGCACCTCCCATATAAAGAAAATATTAAATTAGCATATCTGAGAAAATATAACAGAGTTTTAAAAATTTGTCGGAGCCACTTTTAGTGTTAATATTAATAAGTATTTAAGAAAAATATGGGCGGACTAGAAGTTCCTCCCATATGAATTAAATAAAAAATGGTATATCTGGGAAACTATTATAGGAAGAATGCTCGAATTTTTCACAAATAACTTTGACATCCATGTAAACATTTGTCTGATAAATTTGCGGATTATGGGGGTTGGGCCCTTTCATTAAAATTAAATACAAAAATTCGTATATCTGGGAAAATATTACAGCTAATTTTGCACGGGCAACATAGAAATCCATGCGAATAATTTAGGGAAAAAAATTACCTAACTAGCAATTGGGGCATGGTCATCTCCATTAATTAAACACCAACATTTTTACATCTGGGAAACTATTGGAGCTAGAATCTTCAAATATTGTACGAACAACTTTGACTATCATCTAAACATTTTTATAAATTATGTTATTACATAATTTGCAAAAAAATTAAATATGACGTTATTAATAATAACTTAAATAAATATAACCATTTAGAGGAGCCGAAACAAATGAAACTTTTACATTGATTTGTAGCCCTAGTTAAGTATTATCAATTTCCTTAACTTTTGTTTAATTATGTTGAGTAATGTATTTTTGAAATTTTTTTAAAAAGCATTTATAAATAAACGCGGTAACTTTGACATACCTTTTGGAAAAACTTTTACGCAAACAGGATCAATGGTGCCATCAAAAAAATTTCACACTTTTTTATATCCCAAAATTAAAAAAAATTCTGAATTTAATCATATATGGGGAATTTCGTGCCAAGTGACCCAACTTTTAAAATAAATGTCTTCCAATTTGTATGAAATTTGCACCAAGGTTAGTTCTATGTGCTAGTAGACACAAATTTTCAGCTCTATCGGTCAAGAACTGCCGGATTCAGAGGGGGTCAAAGTTGGAAATTTTGGTCATACAGAGTTTTATTCAAATAAGTGTAACTTTTCACCTATTGGTCCTAGCAAAAATTGTCCAAAGGAGTTCAGATAGCTATTTCTTCATTCTTTTTTTTAATAATTTTTGTTTTTAATTGTTTTTTTCAATATGGGCCTTTTTTGTGCTTAAAAGAAAACTTATACAATTTCCTTGGAGGGCTTTATAGTCCTATAATGGGATGCGAGTGGGATATCTATAAAAAAAATATTTTTTTACTTAATTTTCCCAATTTTTTCAAAATGAACATTTTTGTTGTATTTTTTGGTCAAAAGAAAGCTTAGACAATTGCCTTGTCTGGCCTAATATCCAATTGTACTAACCTTGGTGCAAATTTCATCAAAATCGATTTTTTTTAGTTGGGTCACTTGACATGAAATTCCCCATATGTATGTATATATGTCGTTTTTATACCATTCATTCACATCTCTGGTATATATGATTTATAGCAACTAAGTATTCTAATTTGTTACATAAAAAAATTATAATTTTTTTGCCACGAACGCCTTTGTGTTAAAATATCGAACATCTATTGTCAAAAACACCGACTTTATAGACATAAAATTCAAAAGGGCGTAACAACAAATTAGTCTTTTCCACAAGCCAAAAAGTCCTACAAATCCATATAATTGCAATATCTGGCGGTACACTATTCAAACGTAATATATTCAAACGTTTTTATTGATGTTATGATATAATACATATAAGAAAATGTCATTTTTATAACAACAATAGTGTTCATTTTATTTAGTTTTTGTCTCTCCTGTAAAATTTTTAAAATGTTGTTACGCCGTTTTCAAAATTTAGGTGATGATGTATGTATGTTGTATATTAAGATATGAATTTAATACCTGTTGTTGATGAGCTAGTGTTTGCTTCATAAGGACCATTTTTATACTTTGTTCCATAGCATACTTTTTAGCTTTACTGACGGTATCATGCTGTTCTGAAGATAGCTTTGGTAAAGCTCCTCCAAGTAATCCTAATAACGCAGATCTGGTTCCTGGTCCAAACTTCACATCACCGGTTTGTTTAAGATCATAGATAGGTTGAGAAATATATGGTATTTTAGAGTCCATACTTTTTCCTGCTGAATATAAGAAATATAAGAAGTAAATTTATTTATATGTACATATGTATGTGATTATATTAGTGGTAAACTGTCACATAAATTATTAAATAAATAAATTATTTTATTTCCGTGTTCAACTCCCACCAAAATTGTAATATATTTAAAGCAGAGTCATAAGCCTGGTTTTATAGTGCACACTACTGGAAGACTATGTACTTAATGCCCCTATTACGGTTTACAACTCAACTTTTTTGTGGTACATATTATGAATTACCAAGTTAAAATTGCCAGATGTTAAGCTTTTTTGTCATAAAATTAAGCGAAAAGTTTATGAAATAGAATTTTTCGTATAGCATTCTTTCTATTGTAAATTCGTTCGAAATCTGTGAATAATGAAATTTAAGACTTTTAAAAAGAACTCTACTTCTCTCATAAAATATCATTATAAACAATGAAGTTGTAATTTGCTACAACTGCTTTAATTGAGTTGTATGCCCCGATTATGGTTTTCAACTCAACTCTTCTTAGTTGAAATTTAGCTATTTCAATAATAATAACAACTTAAAATTTTAAGTTTAAATTTATTACAACTTTTTTGAAAAAAATAAAACAGGAAATTCAAAAAATATCAGTTGGAGAACGAAAATGTAAGAGAAAGTCCCTTTTTATAGATTATAGTTAAATAAGGATGGAGCATGTTAAATTTTCTACCAGAAATTCCTCTCATACAGATTTTTATACATTCAGGAAGTGTCCAATTTTATGTTTTTAGGTTCAATAAGGGTTCAATTCACAATCGATGTTGTAGCGTTGTATGCGTTGTATGTCAGCAGCTGCTACAATAGTCATAACAATGTTGTTGGTATTTTCTATGCAAAAGCTCTATACAACTCCTACGACAATTTTTCATATGTTTTTCGAATGTTGTAAGGGCAGTGTCACACGTTCAATATATATCGTGATATTTGCTGTATTATGATATGTATTGAACGTGTAGCATGTAATATTGATGGATCGTGTTCCATATCACAGAAAACCCCAATTTTCTGAAATCCAAAATTCGTATCAATATTTATAATGAATCACGTGATAAATATTGAACGTGTAGCATGTTTTGTGATATCAATCACGATACATTTTTAAAATTTGGAAAAAAAAAATAAAATAAAGCAAATAAAAATGAAATATTGTTTTAAAAATTGTTAAAAAATATAAAAGAAAATTACTTTTTTCAAAATTTTTGTTATTTCGGTATTTTCGCGGTATTCGTTTAATCATCCGCCGACTCGTATACCATAAAATATAGCAAATACTGAAGAAAAAAATATTGAACGTGTAGCATACCCGAATTATTCATCAGTATATTAAAATGGGTCTTGATCCATATTGATCGAGTCGGCGGATGATTAAACAAATACCGCGAAAATACCGAAATAACAAAAATTTTGAAGAAATTAATTTTCTTTTATATTTTTTAACAATTTTTAAAACAATATTTCATTTTTATTTGCTTTATTTCATTTTTTTTCCAAATTTTAAAAATGTATCGTGATTGATATCACAAAACATGCTACACATTCAATATTTATCACGTGATTCATTATAAATATTGATACGAATTTTGGATTTCAGAAAATTGGGGTTTTCTGTGATATGGAACACGATCCATCAATATTACATGCTACTCGTTCAATACATATCACAATACAGCAAATATCACGATATATATTGAACGTGTGACACTGCCCTAAGAAAGTTTAGTTTTGCCAATTATTTATCTCAACATATAAACAAAAAATTCAAACGATTTTAACATAAAAAAAAGTGCTAACACTGAAATCAAAAACAAACAGCTGTTTACCAAAACAAAAAAACAAAAATTTTATTAAAAACAGTTTATTTATTAGTTTAAAATGTGGAATAAAGAAAATAAAAGAATTGAAAATTCAAAGAAATTAATTTGGTTTATTTCGCATGTTTAATTAATTTAATATTTTTTGACTTTTTTATCTTTTGACATTGTTATAATTCAACAAGTTAGAGTGCTATATTCGGCTGTGCCGAATCTTAAATACCCTCCACCAGCTAATTTTATATTAATACTTTTCTAATTGATAAAATATTTGTAGAAATAAGTTTTCTCATGTCTTAAATAGAAAAATCCCAAGATTTAAACAGCATAAATCTATTACAATTCCAAGATTTATTGAACATTACAAACGCCATTTTCTTTATATTTTAATAGCGCTTAGTGATATTTAGTAATTTGCATGTATGCATGTGTGTGAAAGATTTAAGGATTTTCAAAATACATATATATAATTTTGTTCTACGCAAATTGATAATGCAACTAGTTAAATACGGTTAAAGCGCTTTTAAGGACAGGACCTAGTATTGGAGATATGACCAATTATAGACCGATCGTAAAAAATTCTTTAAGAAAAATTTCTGTACATAAAAGCTATATTTCAGTCAAATTTTGTATCTATATCGTAATTTTGTAATAAGTTATGAGTGTTTATTTGATTTTCTGAAAGGAAACTTTTATGGGACCGACCGCACCCATGTTATGAACCGATCGTGAAAAAATCTGGAAATAGAATTTTTGTATACAAAACTAATATTTATGCCAAATTTTGTATCAATAGCTTTATTTGGTAAAGAGTAATGTGCGTTTAAGATATTTTCGTAAAAGGACCTTGTATGGGAGCTATGACCAATTATGTATATAAAGACAAAAATTCAAAATTCTGTATCTATATTATTATTTGGTAATGAATATTGTGCATTTAAGTGATTTTCTGGAGGGGACCTAGTATGAGAGCTATGATCAAATATGGACCGATCGTACAACAATTTTATAGGTTAATTTATGTATATTTTTGCTAAATGTATGGATATCAATATTTGGTAATGAGTTATGTGCGTTTAAGTGATTTTCGGGAGGGAACCTTGTATGAGAGCTACGACCAAGAATGGACCAACCATGAAAAAAAATTGAAATAACATTTAAGTGTACAAAAATAATATTTATGCCACATATTTTATGGGTTATTAGGTAATGAGCTACGTGCCTTTAAGTGTTTTTCTGAAAGGGACCTTGTATGGGAGCTATGACCAATTATGGACTTATAGGAAAATAATTTCACAGTAATATCTCTGTGCATATAAGCAATACTTGTACCAAATTTTATATGGATATCTTAATTCAGTAATGAGTTATGCGCGTTTAAGTGATTTTCGGGATGGGACTTTGTATGGGAGCTATGACCAATTATAGACCGATCCAAAAAATGTTCATTATAATATTTGTGTATATAAGAGCAATACTTGTGTCAAATTTTATATGGATATCTTCATTAACTAATGATTTATGTGGTTTTAAGAGATTTTCGGGAGGGGACCTTGTTATGGACCGATCGGAAAAAAAATTTTCAATAATATTTCTCAGTCATATAACAGTACATGTGCCAAATTTTATATAGATGTCTTACTTTAGAAATGAGTTATGCGCGTTTAAGTGATTTTCGGGAGGGGACCTTGTATGGGAGCTGTGACCAATTATGGACCGATCCAAGAAAACTTTCATAATAATATTTCTGTATATAAGAGCAATACTTGCACCAAATTTTATATGGATGTCTTCATTTACTAATGAGTTATGTGGTTTTAAGTGATTTTCGGGAGGGGACCCTGCATAGGAGCTATGACCAATTATGGACCTATCGGAAAAAATTTTCACAGTAATATTTTTGTGCATACGGGCAATACTTCTACCAAATTTTATATGGATATCTTTATTTTGTAATGAGTTATGTGCGTTTAAGTGAGTTTCGGGAGGGGACCTTGTATGGGAGCTATGACCAATTATGGACCGATCGGAAAAAAATTTCTCAGTAATATTTCTGTACAGATAAGCAATACTTGTACCAAATTTTATATGGATATCTTAATTCAGTAATGAGTTATGCGCGTTTAAGTGATTTTCGGGAGGGGACCTTGTATGGGAGCTATGACCAATTATGGACCGATCGGAAAAAAATTTATCTGTAATATTTCTGTACAGATAAGCAATACTTGTACCAAATTTTATATGGATATCTTAATTAAGTAATGAGTTATGCGCGTTTAAGTGAGTTTCGGGAGGGGACCTTGTATGGGAGCTATGACCAATTATGGACCGATCGGAAAAAAATTTCTCAGTAATATTTCTGTACAGATAAGCAATACTTGTACCAAATTTTATATGGATATCTTAATTAAGTAATGAGTTATGCGCGTTTAAGTGATTTTCGGGAGGGGATCTTGTATGGGAGCTGTGTCCAATTATGGACCGATCCAGAAAATTTTTTCTCTGAATGAATTCTATTGACATAAGATTTTAATTTGTAAAATTTTGTGAAGATATCGACATTGTGACGGAAGTTATTAACAAAAAACCCATTTTCCGGGAATATGAACTTTGGTATGAGAGGTATATGAAATTGTGGATCGATTGTAGCAATTTTCAGCAGGGATTAAGTTCTCGTGTAGAAACTTATTCGTGGTGATTTTCATGAATTTATCTTGCATAGTTTTCGAGAAAATTGCATCCGAATGTGTAAAAAATGCTTATTTTTTTCGAGGTTGTTTTAAATTTTGATTCATAACTTTTCCCGGTATGAATCGATTTTGCTCATTTTCAATACCAAACTGCTTAGGACAACAATGAATGTTTTCGGTGAATTTGGTGTACTTCCTTTGCTTAGTTTTAATGTGAGCGTGTTTTAGGCAGACAGACGGACAGACAGACGGACATAGCTAAATCGACTCAGAATTTGATAAGGACCCAGAATAAATATACTTTGTTGGGTCTCAGATGAATATTTCTTGGTGTTACACACGGAATGACAAAGTTATATATACCCTCTATCACCACTGATGGTGGTAGAGGGTATAAAAAGTAATACTTCTTTAACTCCCTATTTGTAGGCGAGCGGAGAAGTACTTGATGACATTGGAGCAAGACCATATACGTT